AACGCAACTGGTATGTACAGGGATGCCTTAATCCGCTTGACCATCACGCCCGGATATAGCTTCGGCTATCACTTCCTTATGTCCGGTCGTGATGGTCAAGCGGATTAAGGCGTCCGTCCCTGTACATACCAGTTGCGTTGCTCCTGGCAGTATGGGTTTGAGTCACTTCTGGGGTGTGAGTTTTCAGTTATATATATATATATATATATATATATATATTTTCAGTTATATATATATATATATATATATATATATATATATATATATATATATATATATATATATATATATATATATATATATATATATATATATATATATATATATATATATATATATATATATATATATAGATAATAGAGACACTGCATGAATGAGCAGTTCAATGAGAAATATATTATATATAATTTGATATGTAGTTGGTTTCATGACAAAAAAGCACTCTTTAGTAATTAATGAAGAAATATTATTTTAATTTCAAATTGTTGGCAGCACGAATCTAGGTAGGCTGTCGAGGAATTAATGTCATGAAATTATCTTTGTAAAGGAACCAGGTCATTCAGGAAGTTCTCTGTGCGATCAGCAAAATACTTAACTACATATAATTGAGTTCATTATTAATTTTTAAGGAACACAAGTATTGAGAGAAAATCTTTATAGCAATACAAACACGGAGTATTGAGCACCTGCAGGGCAACTGTATAACATCGGCGTAGCTAATGTATAACATATGCAGGTTTTATGTATAATTTTTTATACATTTTTATGATGTATAAAAAATGTTAAAAAGAAATAAAAAATGTAAACATGTGCAGGGCTAATGTATAAAAACGTTTTAACATATGCATGTCATATATATAACATATAAAGGTCTAATGTATAGCAAACTGTTGAACATCTGCAAGGCTAATGTAAAACAAATTGTTGAACATCTGCAGTGGGTAATGTATTACAAATTTTTGAACATCTGTTGGGGTAATGTATAGCAAAATGTAAAAATCTGCATGGCTAATGTATAACATCTCTATGATTAATGTATAATATCTGAAGTGATAATGTATACCATTTGCATTCTAATGTATAACAAATTTTTGAACGTATGCAGGGCATATATATATATATAACAAATTGGTGAACATGTGCAGAGCTAATGTATAATGTCTGCAGGGCTGATGTATAACATGGTGAACATATCCAGAGCTAATATATAACATCTGCAGAGCTAATGTATATCATCTGCAGGGCTAATGTTTAACATCACCAGGGCTAATGTAAAATATATGCAGATCTAATGTAAAATATCTTCAGGGTTAATGTATAACATCTGCAGGGCTAATGTATAATATCTTATATACGATAATGATAGTAAATTATGCAAACCACCCTGAAAAGATTATTGAATAGTACACTATGACGACAGTGGAATAATGTATTAAATATGGACTCTTTACGAAAAAAAATTCCATGTTTTGTGCCATTGTACTAATTTTTGAACATGACAAAAACTGCAGAAATGTAAATGAACCTGTCCTAGGTCTAAATAAAGAAACATATGCAAAATATGTGCAATACTAGGCCAAGTAAAGTATATTCATGTATTACTCAAGGATTGGAAAATATTATATTTTATTATTGCCTTCTTTGTTAGGCATTCAAGAAAATGTATTGTACAAAAGATGGATTTTTTCATTTAATATAACATATTGAGTACTTTACATTCACATTCGCAACAGTTACAATCCCATTTAGAGTCTGGAATGAGCTATAAAAATATTCCTATGAATAAAAGCTTGTAATTCTCGGGATGTTTATCGTCCTGCCTCCTCTCGTCTGTTGCTCTAGCTCCGTTGTGGCCATGACGGCCTCGTCTCCGTTTATTTTAAGGTAGGATTATTATTCCTCATCCTGATAGGTACTGAACATTATTTCTTATTGTTAAATTATATGACCAACTCAACTATATTTTTTTCAGCTGCTGACATCAAGTAGTAGTAGTAGGCATCCATCAGTCTCGGGAGACTATGGAGTTGCACTCTGGTTGACTGAGAGAGTGTTCTCTCCAGTGCCCAAGCCTGGGTAGGTCGATATGGAGGAAAAGCCGTTATCCAAGCAGGAGGTACACCCCTTCTCCACGATGCAGAAAGTCTCCAATGAAAAGGCAAACGCCAATACAATTGGTTCCAGCGCCGTCGCGGGATCTGCCAGAACGAGGTTGAAGTCATCAACGAATTGCCTTACGGGATCTAGCTTCGGAGCCCTAAACCTGTGAGGTGTCTAAAAACTGCATCAGAAAATTCAGTGTTCAAAACTGCTTAATCTTTTCTGACTTCTTGGTCAGGAAAGCCTTCAAGTACCATTAGGACATCTTTCTTTGGTGTCTTAGGTGAAGTGAAATGTAAAGTTAGAACTAAATAATAAATAAACTGAAAATAACACTTATATACAGGAAAAACACTGTATAATAAAAAGTTCATCAATATGTAAGACATGAAGGCATGGCTAACAGAGAACTTTGGCCACGAAATCAATGCATCATTGTAAAAAACAAAAAGCAAATATGATGTTTGGATTTATATATAGAAGCTTCAGTAACAGCAACACACATATCATGTTACAAATATATCTAGCACTGCTGAGGCCCACTCGGGCAACGTTGAGCAGTTCTGGTCATCGTACTACAGTATGGACGTAGACTCTAGAAAAAGTAGAGATCAGGATAACGAGGCTGATGCCTCGTATCGGGGACCTTTTCTGCGAATACAGAGTGATACAATACAAAATACGTAGTGGTAACCATATCAGACCAGGAGACAAATGCAATACATGTATTAATATGAAAGATATCAGGATGGATATAATATCTGTCTTGTTGTGAAGACATAATTATTAAATGATAAGTTTAAATCCTTTAGTAGCTAATTGATTTCAAGCTGATTTCAAATATACATGCTCATTTTGGGTTTCAGTGTATAATTAAATATAATAATTAAATTTATAGTAATTATATAATTAAATATAATAATAATAAAACAATAATTACAGTGAACTATATTCATAATTACTATAATTAAACTTATAGTAATTATATAATTAAATATAATAATAATAAAACAAATAATAATTACAGTGAACTATATTCATAATATTTTCTATGCGAGTTTGATGTGCGAGAATTCATTTTGAATTTATCATAAACGGGTTCCATTGTTTGATCCTGATGTCCAGATTTGTTTTATATATCGAAAATTATTGGACATTAGAACAATTCTTCTTTTCGTGTCCAAAAAACTAAGATTAATTTTATTTTCTTTTGTTCTTAAGAATGTGTTCAGAGATTAGGTTTGCTGAGGTCTCCTCTTGTCTGTAGACCTGTGTAGTACCTGTAACACTTGTTGTTGTCAGGTGTCATTAATGGCTGCCTGGTTGGTGCTCTCTCACTTCATATATTTATCACCTGCTATTTATGTCAGTGGGAAACTTTTTAATAAAATGAAGAGCATCTCATATCTTTTGTTGGTAACTGGTGTGGGGACAGGTTGACTAGAGACTGATGCTATTGACTGTAGTGGTTATCTTGAAGTTATCTTGAGATGATTTCGGGGCTTTTAAGTTTCCCTGCGGCCCGTTCCTCGACCAGGCCTCCACCCCCCAGGAAGCAGCCCGTGACAGCTGACTAACACCCCAGGTACCTATTTTACTGCTAGGTAACAGGGGCATAGGGTGAAAGAAACTCTGCCCATTGTTTCTCGCCGGTGCCTGGGATCGAACCCAGGACCACAGGATCACAAGTCCAGCGTGCTGTCCGCTCGGCCGACCGGCTCCCTTTCCCTGGTGAGAAGGTGTTTGTAGACTTGTTACTGTTAACTGCCGTTTTCATAAGCTGATTTTAGACTGATGATTGTGAGTGAAGGTTTTAACAGGTTGACTGTATACTGATGCTGATAACTACCATGGTGATAGCCTAACTGCTGACTGGTTATAGTGAATGCTGGTGGTGACAAGTGAACTGATTCTAGTTAAGGCTTGTGGTAACGGGTTGACTGTAGACTGATGCTGTTGACTGCTATGGTGAAAACTTGAATGCAGTCTGATGCTACCTTGTGGTGCTTCCAGGGCAAAAAGCAAGAATCAGTCTGCTGGTGACAGATTGATTATAAACTGATGCTAGTGACTGCTGTAGGGACAAGTTAACTGTAAAGTGATGCCAGTGACAGCTGTTAGGGACAGGTTGACAGTAGACAGGTGCTAATGACTTGTATAGTGATAATAGTTATTAGTATAATTTAAACCATCTCAGCGAGTGTTTATTGCATTTAAATTTGATGTATGAAGTAGTATTGTTTTGATTTACTGAAAATTTTCAAATCATCCATATTAAAATGCTGCCAAACTCAGTGTATATATGTCGTCACATTTTAAAACTGGGTCATGAAAGGATATAAGGTCACAACATTGAATGTGCTGTGAATTGATGCATATTATTTCTGCCCTCAGGAGTATTACGTTTCAAGTTATAAAGGAGGAACTGAGAGTTTTATGAAGCAACATATGTGAGTCACTGCCTCCTTTAGTTTATAGTTAATATCCAGGTGAAAAATTTGGTCCATATGGTCTTATGTAGCAACACATGTGAGTCACTGGGTTCTTCAGTGTATATCCAGTAGACAAATAGGAACATATGGTTTCATCAAGCAACACATTTCCAATGATTCCTTTAATGTATTTCTAGGTGACAAAGTAGAATCATAGGGTCTTATTAAGCAACACATGTGAGTCACTGCCTTCTTTAGTGTATTTCCAGGCGACAAAATTGTAACATAGGGCCTTACTAAGTAACACATGGTAGTCACTGCCTCGTTTAGTATATTTCCATGTGACAAAGTAGGAGCATAATGTCCTATTAAACAACACCTATGAATAACTGGCTCCTCTAATATATTTCCAGGTGACAGAGTAGCAGGTGTTCAGCTACTCCCAGAATCATCTTTATTGAGACATACTGACCAACAATTGGTTGTGCAGGCCTGAAAGACACTTTCTGGTTGGGAGTTCCTGGGCCAACGAACGTTCCTAGGAGAGTGTATGAAGTAAAGTCTCCAGTAGTCTGAGTGGATCCTACCCTCACTTCTAAGTTACGGAAGTAATATTGACTCCAAGTATCGTTCTCAGCAATCAGCAAGACCTCGCTCACATTCACAGGACGGTTCAAATTCACCAAGAACCATCCATTGACAACATGATTTGTAACAGCGCAACTGTAACCATACCCGTCGTAGATGCCATCAGCAAGGTTGGCACCCACTCTAATATTGTCGTACAGTGAATCAGATGTGACGGAGGCACCGAAGGCGTACTCCGGGAGGCGGGAGTGCCTGGTGTAGCAGCCACGGACGTTGTTCGTCGCTGTTGTTTGGTAAGATGCGGCCACTACAAGACTGGTGAGCTGGCACCCGAGGACTCCGTCGTGGCACCAGACTTGACACCACTCTAGGGGCGCGCACGCCATAGCGCACTGAATGGTGTCTAGGGTTAGACTTTTCTGCTGCACAGTGGAGGTGAATGACGAGGACATCACGGTGACGTGACGCCATTGTTCAAGTTGTCGTCCCTGAGAGTGCTGGACCGTCCACAACACCCACCACAGTAACACGGGGTTCATCCTGTCACCTGGTCCGTGTAATGCGTGTGTAATGTGCTTCACAGTGATGGGCCTCTATAGTCTTCTGCACTATAGTCCAGCGGTGTCCAGCGGTGTCAGTGCTTAAGATGATGAGATGTCAGACAATAACATTCAAATGGAAGATAATATTCATGATCAATGTAGAAATCATAACTCTTATCAGAGATAATCCGACATCATCAGATACACAGACCCAACAGCGATAGTTGCTGGTGAGAAACTGGTCAGGTCTGACTGGTGAGACCTAACGCACACGTTAGACACAATCGAAATATTAAATATGTCGATACACATTCTTCACGAAATACTAACTAGTTTTAGTCACGAGATATATAAGTACATGTTTTCCCAGACTTTATCTTGATTTTTTTTAAATACTAGGGAATATGACAAGATAATGAAGGATTTATTTCGTACTTGAGATGATTAATGAGATTATGTTTTATACCTATATTTTATACCAAAACATAATGGCGTGATCTTTTCCAGAGTTACAGTTATTTATGATCCTTAGTGTATGATGGACAAGGTGGGTGTGTGGAGGACTGTGAGGAACAAGGCGGCTGAGTAGAAGACTGTGAAAGACAAGGCAAATGAGTGGAGAATTGTGTGGGGACATAGCAGGTGTGTGGAGGACTGTAAAGGACATGGCTGGTGTGTGGAGGATTGTGAGAGACAACTCACAGGACTGCGAGGCGGGTGTGAAGAGGACTATGAGGGGACAAGGCGGATAAGTATAAGACCGTGAAAGACAAAGTAATTGTGTGGAGGGTATGGATCAAAACGGGTGTGTGGGAGAGGGTAAGGGGGGCAGGTGTGTGGTGTAGAAAAAAAAGCACAACAGGTGTGTGTGAGGGTCAAGGCGAATGTGTAAGGGAAGGAAAGGGGCAAGATGAGTGTGAGAGAGAGATAGAGGCAGGATAGGTGTGAGGGGACTCAGCGACAATGCCTGCAGCCATCGCGCCTGACTGCCTGTGAGACTCATTCACATGCAGGCAGAACGGCTGGCAGGCTGTCCCTCACAATCACCCCATACACTTGTCTTGTTCCTCACATTTCCCACACACCCAACTTCTCCCTCACACACCGATCCTGCCCGCTTACTTTCCAGTACATCAACCCGCCTACTTACTAGCGTATCAACCCGCCTACTTACCAGCCAATCAACCCGCCTACCCTGCATGACAGAGTTCTATTCCTAGCTGAGCAGTATAAAACGCATAAAACAGCTGACACCCTCAACTTTTTTCTTAAGGCCAGCCAAGAGTTTAGAGAGCTAAGGGAACAGGTGTATAACCAGCCCTTGGAACAGGTTTTGCAAGGCATCAATCATGCAACATCCTCATCCCAAATGTGGAATAAAATTAAAAAGATTTCTCGTCCTAGCAGTTGTTAACTTGATCACCATTCACCTGTAGTCTATGCCGACATGCTGCTTCAACAATATGCAAGCACTGCCAGTATAAGCAGCCTGCCCCTAGATGTACAACACCATCTGGCTAGTACCAAAATAAATCGTAACTTCAATACTAAAATTGCCTGTAGTGAAATAGGGCCAGATGATAACTTTGACATAACCCCCTTTGAAATTAAAAATGCACTCAAGAAAGGTAAGGCTACCTCTCCTGGAGAGGATGGCATCACATACAATACCATGAGAGTACTTGCTGAGCTGCCAAATAGTCCTTTGCTAGAATTGTTTAATCAAAGTATCAAGCAGGGTGTTTTACCCGATCGCTGGACACAGGGACTCATAATACCCATACCCAAGCCTAATTCACAAAAATTCAGAGTCCAGAGTTCATCCCCGAAGAGAAAACTCATGTCCCTATAATTTTCTAGGTCAACAACCAGAACATTGAAATGTGTAGGCAGCACAAATACTTTGGAGTTGGTATTAACAGTGACATTGTAAACGATCTACACCGTAGGTTAAAAGAAAGACTAAAACCATTGAAAACACATACTGTTAAGAATATTGTTATCAAAATTAAATGTGCTAGACTATTCTATATGATGTTTGTTAGATCTCTCGTTGATTATAATGCTTTGCACTTAATTAATTTCCCCTCCTCTGTGTTGGACAAACTTGAAGTAGTACAGAATGATGCCATGAGGATAATTCTTGGTGCCCCAAGATGCACAAGAATCATCAACACGAAAGAAGAACTGAAGCTTCCAACCATACTAGAGAGAATCATGCAAGTCAACACTACCTTTTGCCTTAAAGTCATGAGAAACCCTACATCTCCTGCCGACATACCAACTCATTCCTTTTATGATAAATGGCAGAGAAACAATGCCTACAATCTTATTAAAATCAACATTTCTTTTAAGTACAACCTACCTGTCTCTGATATTCCTCACTATCTGTACCCCACCATACAAATCTGTCACCAAGAAAGATAATGAGAATCTTGCTCGATTCAAAACTGTCACATCAAAGCTGTCACACTCGAAACAATTGCCTTCTGCATCAATAATTTAAGATCTCACGAGCACTGTGTCTACACCGACGACTCAGTCCAATCTTCTACTCGACGGACTGGAGCAGCATGTAGGTTTTATAGAAATAATATTTCCCAAAGACTGTCAGTGTCAGGATAAACAACTGGCTGACCTCAACACAAGCAGAACTAGCAGCATTACAACTAGCTACCAGTACATATCAAAACATTGGAGGAGGAATAATATTTTGTGATTCAAAGATTGCTCTTCAAGCAATCGAAAACTTCTCCTGGAAGATCGACAACAAGAACATCATACTACCAATTATAAAAGACCTAATTGCTGCACAGAGTAAAGGGTCTCGAATCTCCTTTGTATTAATACTTTCACACATAAATATAACCCATCATAATGAGACAGACATTGCAGCCAAATTAGCGTGCAACAAAGATGAAATTAAATCAGATATAGGTATCCCCATTTCTGCTGTCAAAACTGTATTGGTCCAAACACTCAGGTCTGATAGGAAAGAAATTACTGACTCCCAACGACCTGAAAGTACTTGTATAAAAAACTATGATTTGCTCAGATCTGCAACCTATATCTATGGGCAGCATAAAACGTCCACCAGACTGCGATATAGTGGTTGCAAGGATCAGGTTGTGTTACCGTTACCTGTGGCAGGTGGCAACAGGTGACGGATCTCCCAATCCTGAGCACTCCAGTTGAGAACTCTGTAAGCAGGAACTGCGGCACGATCTCCCACACTACATCACCGAATGCCCAGTTATTAGACCTTGAAGACCAGTTGGCATATATATATATATATATATATATATATATATATATATATATATATATATATATATATATATATATATATATATATATATATATATATATATATATATATATATATATATATATATATATATATATATATATATATATATATATATATATATATATATATGTCGTACCTAGTAGCCAGAACTCACTTCTCAGCCTACTATTCAAGGCCCGATTTGCCTAATAAGCCAAGTTTTCCTGAATTAATATATTTACTATAATTTTTTTCTTATGAAATGATAAAGCATTCCTTTTCTCTATGTATGAGGTCAATTTTTTTTTATTGGAGTTAAAATTAACGTAGATATATGACCGAACCTAACCACATCTCAGCCTACTATGCAAGGCCCGATTTGCCTAATAAGCCAGGTTTTCATGAATTAATTGTATTTCGAGTACCTAACCAACCTAACCTAACCTAACCTAACTTTTTCGGCTACCTAACCTAACCTAATCCATAAAGATAGGTTAGGTTAGGTTAGGTGGGGTTGGTTAGGTTCGGTCATATATCTACGTTAATTTTAACATCAATAAAAAAAAATTACCTCATACATAATGAAATATGTAGCTTTATCATTTCATAAGAAAAAAAATCAAGAAAATATATTAATTCAGGAAAACTTGGCTTATTAGGCAAATCGGGCCTTGCATAGTAGGCTGAGAAGTGCGTTCTGGCTACTAGGTACGACATATATATATATATATATATATATATATATATATATATATATATATATATATATATATATATATATATATATAAAGTTTGTGAGGGTACCACCTCTGGTGCCAATGTGGGGACCCATAGCCTCGGAGAAGAAAATAAAAAGTATTCAGAGGAGACCTTGTGGTTTCTCACTGAACACTAATATTATCTTCTCCTACCACCCCCATTCTTTTGTATGTACACATATATATTTACTTTATTTGAACTTTGTTACAAAAAAGGGAGTTACATATGGGTTACAAAGATGGTTGTCATAGGTTGTCGAGTTCCTCCAGCTCCTCAGATGGCGGGCAGGAACCCTGGATGCAGTGCGCATTTCCCCTCTGTATCGCCACACTGAGGCGCTGGAAAAGAAATATATATATATATATATATATATGTCGTACCTAGTAGCCAGAACTCACTTTTTGGCCTACTATGCAAGGCCCGATTTGCCTAATAAGCCAAGTTTTCCTGAATTAATATATTTTTTCTAATTTTTTTCTTATGAAATGATAAAGCTACCCATTTCATTATGTATGAGGTCAATTTTATTTTATTGGAGTTAAAATTAACTTAGATATATGACCGAACCTAACCAACCCTACCTAACCTAACCTAACCTATCTTTATAGGTTAGGTTAGGTTAGGTAGCCGAAAAAGTTAGGTTAGGTTAGGTTAGGTAGGTTAGGTAGTCGAAAAAACATTAATTCATGAAAACTTGGCTTATTAGGCAAATCGGGCCTTGCATAGTAGGCCGAGAAGTGAGTTCTGGCTACTAGGTACGACATATATATATATATATATATATATATATATATAT